GCAGCAGGAGTCCAAGGCAGCAGTTTCCTGCTCATGCTCTCTACCAAAAGCAGCTTGTCTCCACACTAGCCCTCTTTGTGGTGCTCCTTCTGTCAGCAACTCACAGCCTCCTAATGTTTTCTGAGCAGCACTGAACAGATATCATCTTCACTCTGCTCCTCACATAGGCATCCTCTTGCAGACCAAGCTCTTGGTCCTCTCACCTCTGTTCGGCTGCTCCCCTCTAAGGACTTTTTATTTCCACACTGTCTCTCCCTACTTGGCTGTCCTCCCTCAGGGACTAGACTCCTCAGCAGCCTTTGCACTCTCCCAGTCTTCACCTTCAGCAGGCAATGCTTCTTTAGTCTTCATTTCTACTAACATTGCCCCTCTATATTGGTGAAACCGAAAACTGAAGGGATGTACAGTCTTCTCTCAGCCTTACAGCAGCATATGCTCTTGAAGGGCCAGGGTGCCAAACTGACTACCCCACCTAGGAGAATGACCGTCTGTGTATCTCTGAGCTAGCCTTGACCCAACAGGCTAGCAGCCTACTCTGCAGTCCAGTTAGCCTGAACTAGTGCTTAGTCTTATGTGCCCACACAGTGAGGAGCCACACTGGCCAGTTTGATAGATAAGTGAATACTTGACATTTATTTGTTTGCTTACCATAGGCGTGTGCATAGGGTGTGTCTGCGCTCACCCTAATCACCCTGTTTGCATTAGTATTATCGCTCTGTATACTAGTGGGGAGATGGGAAACATCTTCCACTGATCAGCTCTGTTTATAAGAGAAGAATGGAAGCATTTCTCTCTCATTCGGAATCTGCAGGCAGGGAGATAATATGAGACGTGTGTGTTTGAGCTTTGGTGTGCACACCCTAATGCAAAAAGCTGCACACACCTATGGTGCTGACAGTGGCACTGGCAGTTACACATTCTGACTGGACAGGAATTTCTTGTTTCACCTTTACTTTGTAAGGAGGTATGTACCTGGGAATATTGTTGAAGCAAAAGAAAAAGTAAAAAAAAAATAAAAAATAAACAAAATGCAAAGGTTCTTGGCACAGGTTGATGAAAACCTCTTCTGAGAAAAACCCATGCTGTATTTCAAAATAATGGTGATATACACTTATAACTTGTTCCAGTCATTTTTGGAAATACAGAAGGTCAAAGAAGTGTGTTTATTTTATAACAGGTCCTAAAACACTTATCAGCAGTACTGGCAGCAGGCAGGCCATTCTAAATAGATCTAAATGTGGATATATAATTATGTTTCTTTATGAGACATAACTACATGTGGCAAATGTCTGTCTTTAAATACACATTTCATATAGAAAAAAATGATAAAAAATTATATATATGTACATGCACTGCTCCAAAAAATTAAAGGAACACTTATTAATCAGAGTATAGCATCAAGTCATTTAAACTCCTGGGATATTGATCTGGTCAGTTAAGTAGCATAGAGGGTTGTTAATCAGTTTCAGCTGCTTTGGTGTTAATGAAATTAACAACAGGTGCACTAGATGGGCAACAATGAGATAACCCCAAAACAGGAATGGTTTTACAGGTGGATGCCACTGACCGTTTCTCTACTCATCTTTTCTGACTGTTTTTCACTAGTTTTCAATAGAACAAACTGGAGACTGAGATATGCCTGCCCTAGAATATAGAGAAAATGTTTTCTTTTCTGCAACAGAGGTACAGTAATGGTATATTGGTACATAGGGAATATGGAATGAAGTAAAAAAGTGAACTCGGCCTTTAAATAGAACTTAAGCCTATTTGCAGTAAACACTGCACATATATGCCACAGTCCTTGCAGGGCCGTCTTTAACGTGGGGTAAAAGGGGCAGCTGCCCTGGGCCCAGTCATTATTGTGGGGCCCAAGACAGCTGCTCCTTGAGCTTCTTTGCATGGAGAGTCCGGTGGTGGCAGGAAGCAGGGCAGTTTCACCTGGTGCTGAAAGCGGCATCCTCAGGGTGCAGGCAGGATGATCGGGTGGGCCCCGGAGACAGAGGCCGCAGGGAAGGCTAGCAGCACAAGAGTGGCTAGGACTGAGAGCCTGGGAGGGAGAAGACCTTCACCACCCCCCTGCTTGAGGTGAGCAGCAGCAGGCGCAGCATCCCCAGCTCCTCCCAAAGACTGGACTCCTTTTTCAACCTCCTCTCCACTCCCAGTTCCGACATCAACAGGAGGACAGGCTGACCAGGGGTCCTGTACAGAGGAAGAAGACAGCCGAGAGGTGAGTACTAGGTGTCACACTCACCTATCCACAGACTGGGACTGGGACAAGGGGGCACAGGAGGGACTGCAGAAGGGGCAGGGCTAGGTGTCTCTCTCACCCCCTGTCGCTCCCACCCCACTCCCTCTCATCCCCCTCCCTCTCACCCCTTCTCCCTCTCACCCCCCCTCTCACCCCCCCACCCCTCCCTCTCACCCACCACACCCCCCTCTCCCTCACCCCCTCCCTCTCACCCCCCCACCTCTCTCTCCCCTCTCTCCTTTCTCTCTCACCCCCCCCTGTTTCTCACTCCCCTGCTCTCTCAGCCCACCTGTCCCCCATCCCCCCCCAGTCCCCTTCTCTCTCATCCCCCCCCTCCTCCTCTCTCACCCACTTCTATCTCATCCCCCTTCTCTCACCCCTTGTCAGGGCTCCCGGGTATGACCAGAGGTGTGTGACTGACGCAGGGAAACGCAGACTTCAGATATGTTATAAACAATATAATTTATTGACACTAACAATACAAACATAAACGCAGTGCAATACTAAAACATAACACAGTGCAAACGAACCAAACCAACCACCCACAGATAACTACATACAATGCAAGCGTCGTCAGGCAGGCCGGGTCAATATCAATCGGGCAGGTAGGTACAGGGGGAGCAAGCGGAGAATGGTCGGGGTCACAAGCCAGGTTCAGCAGGTAGCGGGCAGCGTGGTACAGAGGGTCAGGCAGAAGGATGGTCAGGAACGAGCCGGGGTCAGAGCAGGAGAAGTCAGCAGAGGTCAGATCAGGCAGGGTCAGCAACAAGACAGGAACAGGAACAGGATGCAGGATACAGGGCCCAGGAAAAACACACACCAAGGCAGAGTCTGCAGGTCTGGCCATCCCTTAAATACATTAGTATAAGCAGTTTCAGGTGTTTAGCTGGCTGCAAGGTTGAGTCTCTGATTGCTGGGAGCACCCGCTGGCCAGCCCTGGTACTGCAGCCCATAAGGCAGGCGAGTCCCACCATTGCTGGCCAGTCCATTCCTGACAGTAATCCCCCCTCAAGGAGCGACCTCAGGACGCTCCAAACAGTCCTAGCTGGGCAAAATGTTCCACCGCCCGGGTCTGGTAACTGGCGGGATATCAAAGACTGGCACACCGGGCAGGACTCCGGGCAGCGGCACACCGGGCAGGACTCCGGGCAGCGGCACACCGGGCAGAGGCACATCGGGCAGAACTCCGGGCAGAGGCACATCGGGCAGCGGCACACCGGGCAGCGGCACATCGGGCTGGACTCCGGGCAGCGGCACATCGGGCAGGACTCCGGGCAGCGGCACATCGGGCAGGACTCCGGGCAGCGGCACATCGGGCTGGACTCCGGGCAGCGGCACATCGGGCTGGACTCCGGGCAGCGGCACATCGGGCAGGACTCCGGGCAGCGGCACATCGGGCTGGACTCCGGGCAGCGGCACATCGGGCTGGACTCCGGGCAGCGGCACATCGGGCTGGACTCCGGCAGCGAGGCACATCGGGCTGGACTCCGGGCAGAGGCACATCGGGCAGGACTCCGGGCAGAGGCACATCGGGCTGGACTCCGGGCAGAGGCACATCGGGCTGGACTCCGGGCAGCGGCACATCGGGCCCCCCTCCGGGCAGCCCACATCGGGCAGGACTCCGGGCAGCGGCACATCGGGCTGGACTCCGGGCAGAGGCACATCGGGCTGGACTCCGGGCAGAGGCACATCGGGCTGGACTCCGGGCAGAGGCACATCGGGCTGGACTCCGGGCAGAGGCACATCGGGCTGGACTCCGGGCAGAGGCACATCGGGCTGGACTCCGGGCAGAGGCACATCGGGCAGGACTCCGGGCAGAGGCACATCGGATCACCAGGTGGAGCAGCAGGCCCCGGGCCCCCAGGCAGAGCAGCAGGCCCCGGGCCCCCAGACGGGGCGACAGGCACCGGGCCCCCAGATGGGGCGACAGGCACCGGGCCCCCAGACGGGGCGACAGGCACCGGGCCCCCAGACGGGGCGACAGGCGCCGGGCCCCCGGAGCGGGGGTGCCCCCCCCCCCCTCAGGCATCGGGCCCCCAGAGGGGGCGACAGGCATCGGGCCCCCCCAGAGGGGGCGACAGGCATCGGGCCCCCAGAGGGGGCGACAGGCATCGGGCCCCCCAGACGGGGCGACAGGCATCGGGCCCCCAGGCGGAGCGGCGGGCCGGGCCCCCAGGAGGGGCGACAGGCATCGGGCCCCCAGAGGGGGCGACAGGCATCGGGCCCCCAGAGGGGGCGACAGGCATCGGGCCCCCAGAGGGGGCGACAGGCATCGGGCCCCCAGACGGGGCGACAGGCATCGGGCCCCCAGACGGGGCGACAGGCATCGAGCCCCCAGACGGGGCGACCGGCATCGGGTCACCAGGCACGACAGTGGGCTCCGAGTCAACTGGCATGACCGCTGGCACTGGGTCAGACAATGGATCGTCTGGCTGGACAGCGGGCATCGGGTCACCAGGCATCAGGTCACTTGGCTCGACAGCGGGCACCGCGTCATCTGGCAAGGCAGTGGGCTCCGAGTCAACTGGCATGACCGCGGGCACTGGGTCAGATATTGGATCGTCTGGCTGGACAGCGGGCATCGGGTCACCAGGCATCAGGTCATTTGGCTCGACAGCGGGCACCGCATCATCTGGCAAGGCAGTGGGCTCCGAGTCAACTGGTATGACCGCGGGCACTGGGTCAGACATTGGATCGTCTGGCTGGACAGCGGGCATCGGGTCACCAGGCATCAGGTCATTTGACTCAACAGTGGGCACCGCGTCATCTGGCAAGACAGTGGGCACCAAGTCACCAGGCACGACAGTGGGCTCTGACTCAATTGGCACGACAGCGGCATCGGGTCACCAGGTATATGACAGCGGGCACTGGGTCACCAGGCATCAGGTCATTTGGCTTGCCAGCGGGCACCGTGTCATCTGGCAAGGCAGTGGGCACCGGGTCACCAGGCATTGGATCGTCTGGCTCGACAGCGGGCATCGGGTCACCAGGTATGACAGCGGGCACTGGGTCACCAGGCATCAGGTCATTTGGCTCGCCAGCAGGCACTGCGTCATCTGGCAAGGCAGTGGGCACCGAGTCACCAGGTACGACAGCGGGCTCTGAGTCAATTGGCACGACAGCGGGCACCGGATCAGGTACCGAATCATCTGGATCAACAGCGGGCATCGAGTCAACTGGCCTAATAGGATCATCAGGCTGGATCAGTTCATCATGCTGGGTAGAGGCATCAGGCTGAGTGGAGGCGTCAGGCTGAGTGGAGGCGTCAGGCTGAGTAGAGGCATCAGGCTGAAGCGAGGGCATCAGGCTGAAGCGAGGCATCAGGCTGAATAGAGGCATCAGGCTGAATAGAGGCATCAGGCTGGGTACAGACACCAGGCTGGGTACAGACACCAGGCTGGGTACAGACATCAGGTTGAAGTGCGGGTGCCGAGGCACCAGGCTGAACCATGGAAGGCAGGTTCTCAGACGGCAGGCTCACCGGTTTGGATACTGGCAGGATGGTATTGGTTGGAAAGAATTTCCTCTTTTTTTCTGGTTTTAACTACTGGAGCACTGCAAGTAAACGCAGGTCTGCAAACCAATGGAGCAGCTGGAGACAGAGAAGAGCTGGAGGATGGAACAGAGGAGGGAGCAGTTGCTACAGAGGGCTTTTTTACAGGGTTAAAGGCAGGATAGGTGCAGCGAGTGGGAACAGGGTACTGACATGCGGTAGATAGCAGGGCAGGAGGAGCTGTTGGGAATGCAGGAATAGAGCTTTGAGGAAATAGATTAGAAGCAGGACTGGGTCTTTGTAAGCTGACTGAGGCTGGGTGCAACAAATCTGTCCATGTCTGCAGTATGGGTTGAACAAAGCTGAGCTTACACAAAGCCTGTCTGACTAAAGACTGCACTGCGTTTATACAATCTCTTAGTATCTGTGGTGAACATGCAGCATAATGCTCCAAGAAGCAATCCACATCATCCTCTAATAACCATACCAGGGACTCTACCTGGTCGGCACTAAATGGCGGCAAAAATTCATCCCTGCATTCGGGGGTACCAGATGAACCAACTCCGCACAAATCTGAATCAATGGCTGCACCTCAGAGAATTCTGTGCCCTGATCTACTAGAACATGAGCGAGCCGTATACATTCTAGCAGTTCATCCCGGGGATACTCCTTCAGTTTGATTTGATAAGCATACTCTCTGTCATCAAACACTAGCAGATATAAATACACAACCTCATCAAGATCCATCCTTCCCATCAACAAACCAAGATGGCTTCCCTGTGCAGCCACTTCTGGTCAGGATTGGGCCTTGGTGTAATGTCAGGGCTCCCGTGTGTGACTGACGCAGGGAAACGCAGACTTCAGATATGTTATAAACAATATAATTTATTGACACTAACAATACAAACATAAACGCAGTGCAATACTAAAACATAACACAGTGCAAACGAACCAAACCAACCACCCACAGATAACAGTACATACAATGCAAGTGTCGTCAGGCAGGCCGGGTTAATATCAATCGGGCAGGTAGGTACAGGGGGGGCAAGCGGAGAATGGTTGGGTCACAAGCCAGGTTCAGCAGGTAGCGGGCAGCGTGGTACAGAGGGTCAGGCAGAGGGATGGTCAGGAACGAGCCGGGGTCAGAGCAGGAGAAGTCAGCAGAGGTCAGATCAGGCAGGGTCAGCAACAAGACAGGAACAGGATGCAGGAACAGGATACAGGGCCCAGGAAAACACACACACCAAGGCAGAGTCTGCAGGTCTGGCCATCCCTTAAATACACCAGTATAAGCAGTTTCAGGTGTTTAGCTGGCTGCAAGGTTGAGTCTCTGATTGCTGGGAGCACCCGCTGGCTAGTCCTGGTACTGCAGCCCATAAGGCAGGCGAGTCCCACCATTGCTGGCCAGTCCATTCCTGACACCCCTCTCCTTCTCATTCCCCCTCTCCCCCCCCTCACTCACCACCCTACCCCCCCCCCCTCCCCCCCCCCTCTCCCCCTCTATCTTTCTCACTCCCCCTTTCTGTCACCCCCAGCACCCCTCTCTCCCTCCTCCTTTTTCCCACCCCCCCTCTCTCACCCCTTTTAACCTCTTTCACCCCTCTCTCTTTCTCACTCCCCCTCTCTCTCACCCCACCTCTTTCTCTCCCACTCCCTCTCTCTCACCCCCCCCCTCTCCCACCCCCCCCCCCCTCTCTCTCCCCACCTCCTTTCTCTCTCACACCCCTCCTCACCCTCTCTTTCTCACTACCCCTCTCTCACCTCACCCCTCTCTCTCATCCCCCCCCCCCTCCCTCTCTCTCTCACCCCCCCTTTCCTCTCTCTCTCTCATGCCCCCCTTCCCTCTCTCTCTCTCACCACCCCCTTCCCTCTCTCTCTCTCACCACCCCTTCCCCCTCTCTCTCACCCCCCCCCTTCCCTCTCTCTCTCACCCCCCCCCCCCTTCCCTCTCTCTCTCACCCCCCCCCTCTCCCTCACCCCCCTCCCCCTCTCTCTCATCCCCCCTTCCCCCTCTCACCCCCCCATCACCCCCTTATCTCTCATCCCCCCTTCTCATACCCCTCTTTCTCACCCCCCCTCTCACCCCTCTCTCTCTGACCCCCCTCTCTCTTTCTAACTCCCCCTTTCTGTGACCCCCAATACCCCTGTCTCTCCCTCCCTCTTTCTGTCCCTCCCTCTTTCTCTCCCTCCCTCTTTCTCTCCCTCCCTCCCTCCTTTCTCTCCCTCCCTCCTTTCTCTCTCTCTCACACCCCCTCTTCCACCCCTTCTCTCTTTCACCCCTCTCTGTTTCTCACTCCCCCTCTCTCTCACCCCCCCCTCTCTCTCCCATCCCTCTCTCACACCTTTCTCTTTCTCACTCCCCCTCTCTGCCACCCCCACCCCCTCTCTCTCCCTCCCTCCCTCCTTTCTTTCTCACACCCCCTCCTTCTCCCCTTCTCTCTCACACCCCTTCTCTCTTTCTCACTCCCCCTCTCTCACCCCACTCCCTCTCTCTCATCCCTCCTCTCTCTCTCAACCGCTATCTCTCTATCACCCCCTTCTCTCTCATCCCTTCTCTCACCCCTTTCTTTCTCACTCCCCCTCTCTCTCACCCCCACTCTCTCCCCCCCTCGCATGTAGGGGAAACCAAATGGACACTGACTGAAAGGTGTCAAAGTGAGTGTTATTGATCCCACCCCCCAACACTGTCACACATCCCATTCCTCCTCCCAGCATTGCCAATGATCACGCCTTCTCCCCCCACAGACCCTAACAACCAGTGGCTGAGCATCAATGATGTGCAGTGACCTCTAGCAACCAGTCAACGAGCTGTAATAATGCACTGTAACCCCTGGCAAGCAATCACAATCACTGCCTGATCTGCTGCAGTAAACTGATTTTGAGTCTAGGTGCTATTTATTGTATGTATTAGATCAAGTTGAGAGCGAAATTCCATGTGAGCAGGGGGAGGGGGGTGGAGGGGCCCAAGAAAATGTTTGCCCAGCGTCCAATCAATAATAAAGATGGCCTTGAATCAGGGGTGGACTGACAACTCATGGGGCCCCTAGGCAATAGGGGATCATGGGGTCCCTGCGTCCTTGCCCACACTCAAACCACACCCAAAAAAAGACTATGAAAGGTACCAGGTTATCTCATGGGGCCTCTTACTGACCCCAGGCCCTCAGCCAGTGCCAGAGTTCCCAAATGGTCAGTCCGCCCCTGCCCTGAATCCTTGTTCCCACAAAATACTCCTGAACTACTGTACCACAATTGAGGGAGACACTCCTCATAAAGGATCAAAAAAACAAAACAGGATCTAGTCAAAGAGCTAACACAAAATACTTAATAACCAGCAACTGTTGATACAATAAATATCAGTGTCAGGAGTATGTAATGTACAGTAATAAGCACTTTATGTAAAGCACAGAGAGTTGTTTATGGTCATAGAGTGGTATGGTCAGCAGTATGCTTAATAGTGCTCCTTTATATTGCTGGCCTGTAGTAGGAGCCTGTGGTCAGCATTGATGGTCATCAGGAGAAAGATGGCCAGGGGGTAGAAAAAATGTTAGTGGTCAGAAGGAGGGTAAATGCTTTGCTGGTTCCCATATATGCGGATTGGATGCTGTTTGAACTGCATCCAATCCACAAGACATGTGAAATAACATTGCTTCCTATGGTGCCTGTTCACAAACATCTGGTGTACTGGCAGTGCGGATTCAGTGTGGATTGAAACAAAGTGGCTCTGGCTAAAAGTTTGCATTAAAAACAGAGGGTTTTGTTTTCACACATTTGCAAATATGCGTAAGCCATAGTTCCCACATCAAGGGACCTCTGTATATTCTGCAGTCTTAGCTATAAATTTCCAGAGCCTGCATAATAGGAGCACATATACAAATGGAATGATTAAGGGCAGGTGTGCCTGGAGGTAGCCCACCCCTTCTTAAAGGCACAGGGATGCATGTGACACCCAGCTAGAGCTCAATGACAGCAAAGTCACCACAAGCATCCCTTCACCCAGTTCATTCAGCTATACAAAAAGGTGACAACCACCCAACCTATAACTAGCCTTTGCAGCAAGGTGCACATGGAAGGGCAATGCAAATCACAAACAAAGGCTTTCCTAGCACATGTACCAACCCGCTTGCAAAACAACCAAAGTGGCTGTCTAACAGTTGGTGTTAAAAATGGAGAGCTTTTTCTGCACACATTTACAAATATATGCATAAGCTGCTGTGCCGATGTCAAGGGACCTCTAAACTCTGTTATTATCACACGTGCTTATATAGCACCATCAATTTACGCAACGCTTTACACATATATATTGTACATTCACATCAGTCCCTAACCCTCAAGGGGCATACAAACTCACATTCATACATACACATACTAGGGCCAATTTAGACAGGAGCCAATTAACCTACTAGCATGTCTTTGGAGTGTGGGAGGAAGGCGGAGTACTGGCGCAGGCACAGGGCGAACATGCAAACTCCAGGCAGGTGGTGCCGTGGTTGGGTTTTTGAACTCATGACCCTAGTGCTGCCAGGCGGAAGTGCTAACCATTTAACCATTGTGCTGCCTCCACAGTAGGAGCACATATATGAATGGATAAATTAATATGCTTGTCTCCAGGACTTCTCCAGAGCTTCCCCCATCCTCTGGAACTCTCTACCCCAATTTATCAGACTATCGCCTACTCTGCTCACTTTTAGGCGATCTCTGAAAACCTATCTCTTCAGGGAAGCCTATCCTCAGCTAATACTGGAATCTTCTACTCTTCCAACCAGTCCATCCCCCACAGTTACTACCTTTTGTACCACTAGCCCCTCCCTCCTAGATTGTAAGCTCCATGGAGCAGGGCCCTCAAATCCGTCCTTGTACTGAACTGTATTGTTACTGTATTGTCTCCCATTATATTGTAAAGCGCTGAGCAAACTGTTGGCGCTATATAAAATCCTGTATAATAATAATAATAAATTAAGGGCAGGCATGCCTGGAGAGACCCCACCTATCCTAAAGGCACAGGGATGCACATGACAGGACGCACATTGGAAACTAGCATCTTCCGAAGTAGACCAGCAACAGCAGCCCCCATACTTTTTTCACAATGTGTACATTAAGTCAAACCTCTTTAACATTTTTTAATAGAGAGGGGAGGGGTAATAACCCTATATCAATTTTCTCAATGGAAACATCAATCCTCTTTTGAAGAGATTTTTTTCCAAGTGAGCATAGCTGCCAAAGGACAGGAAGTGTTACAGTATTTGCAGGGTCACCAGGTTAAAATATTCTAAAAAGAAAAAACTTAAAAAAAACAAAACAAATGCAGACACCACATCTAAGAACAGATAAACTGCAATATAACAAATGTATGTCTCTGTGCCTAAAGAGGATGTAAAGTTTTATATATCTATCATCTCAATATGCATGCATCTATCCTATCTAATCAGTCTATCCTTCTAATTAATCTATCGCAATATAGATGCATACATGTTGAAAGTTTAATCTGCATAGTGGATTTTTTTTTCTGACTGTATAAAGCTGACGGGGATGTTGGAAATTGGGTAAACTGGAAAACCCAACCATAAAAAGCGGAAGAAAGCGAGGTGAGGGGAGGATGTTTAGAGTTGCTACACACTATATAATGATGGTGTCTGGAGAAATGAGAACAGGAATCGGACCAAGGAACTGCAGACTGATTGTAAGAGGAAGGATGTTTGCAACCAAGGTACTGTGCTGGATTGTCACTGCTGCTGTGTATGAAAAACACATTTCTGAACTATTCCTCAACATTTCTACATTTTGTTTTTGCATTACTTATTTGCTTAAATTCACAAGTTTATTATTTAAACTTGACTAATCTAAATTTTAATCTGTTCTGATATAACAATTTTAGCAGTAGAAAAATGTCATATATTTCAGTTTAGCTAGATGTAGTAGTTTGAAGTTTTAGTACCCAGTGCATCCCTACATTATTATTTGTGACTAATATATTAATCATTTTTTTTTACTCAAGAGTCACACACCTTATACTGAATGTTCGCTTAATTTGTCTAACAGAATTTTATGGGAAAAAGTTTGAATGGGTAAATGTTGTGTGAATTTTGGGTGAAACATTGATAAATAGACCCCACAGTAACTATTGTTTTCAGTAATATAATTTTTAGGTTGGACTAAAGAAACACTGGGACATCAAATTATTTTGTATAATGCTACTACAAATGTTAACAGTTGGCAGTTGTTTAACAATAGAACTTTGTATACACATCTTTGCAACAAAAGTTGACTGGCCACACAGAAAAACTTTGGCTAGTCCTGTATTACATTCCACTGTATGTGGGAGATAAAAACATTTTGATAAAAAATTCTATTACAGAAGGTTATGTTATGATCTTCATCTTTTATTACATAAGTTGCTACCATAATGTGTATTTTAGTAATATATGGATTTTTATGTATTTCAGACAGTAACAGGGAGTTTTGCTTCCATGATCCATGGTTTAACTGTAAATAACCTCACAGAAAGAGTTATTCAGAGAAGCAAGAGGATGATTTTAGACACTCTGGGTGTTGGATTGATCGGAACTACAACAGAGGTTTTTCATAAAGCATTGCAGTACAGCAAGGTAAAAATGTTACATGTGCAGAGGTCCTTTTATATGTGAGAGATGTCTAGGCCTTCTTAAACATAATTTGTTCATATAGTGCTAAAGCTGCCCATAAATACATTTTTTTTCCGATAAGCCAGCGGGAACAGGAACACAACCGAGATGGATGGAGGAATCCTCTCTGCTGTGCTATTGTATTTTCACAGAGGAGGTGCCTTCGCTGTCAGGATACACTGAGCTACAATGTAGCTGATTGGCTGCATGAACTGAATTTAAATTTTCCAACATCCTCATTCCAAAAAAGCTGATCATTAAATCGACTTCTCTTGGGCGGGAATGGCTGTAGATGGACGGCCAATAACACAGGAGGGTCAAGCAGAGGAGTAGTCTAGACAAGCCAGGTGACACATATATAAATCAATTTCACGCGATTCAAAATCAGCAGCGTGGAGAAAGCGGAGTCAGAACAACTTTGGACATACATGGTGATACACAGAGCAGTTTAATCTGGATTAACAAGAGCACACAAGGTAGCATCTGCTAACATTATCACTGGTGATGTGTAACGATAGGCGTTTTAAACGTGAGCAGTAATGAGCTGGCCAATCACTGTCAATTTCCAGGCAAAGGCTGTCTCAGGTGAGTTTTTTTTGCTCATTCTTAAAAGGACAACCTGAATCCTGGTACTGATACATAAAAGTAGGCAATATAAATGCTGCCATGAGGTATCCATATGTATCCAATTATTATCTCTTGTTTTAAACCTTGGACAGATCCTTCTGGTAGGTTATAAGTCACTGCTGTGACTTATTTATGTGTGTTCAGGTTCAGGCATTGAACTCTGCAGAGCGGGAGCGCTGTCATTCTGGGAGGAAGTCATATGACATCCTTTCAGTCACGTGCCACACGTGCTCTAGGAGCACAATCTGTCACCTGCTGTATCTGATAAACTGATTATTGTACTGGGTTAGCCCACTTGGCTTTCATTTATAGCCATTCATTGTGTACTATTGTGATGATCTCTGTGATTGATCACATGATACAGACAGGGCCAGTCACAGCACATCTGTACCATGTGATAGCTGTGGCCAATCACAGCTATCACAATAGTACATAATCCCAATGAATGGATGCCATTATATCACTGATATAAGCAATCATAGTGTAAAAAAAAAGCTTGATCACCTCCCCAGAGTAGTAGTGTGGCGGTGGTAACACTGTACTGCTCTGGTCACACTATGAAAAACAAAAGGAAAAAAAATTGTAAAAAACGTTTCTTATAAATTGGAAAAAAGTTAAATTTTTTTTAACATACTGTCATCAGTAAGTATCCCTGAACACCGCCACACCAGTCATATAATGATGCTGAAAAAAAGTTTAAATATGTATTTAATTTTGTCAATTTCCACAAAAATTTTGACAAAAAAATAACTCCAAAAAACTCATGTCTCCTACTAAACACCTCAGACTGTCTACTTTCCAAAAAGGAGCCATTTTGGGGGTATTTGGACTCTCCAGGCATTTTAGGGCCTCAAGAGACTCTATAACTTTCCTGCAGACTAAATATTATACACTACATCGGGTTATTTTTACCAAAGAAATGTAGCAGAATACATTTTGGCATAAATTTATGAAGAACAATTATTTGCAAAATTTTATAACAGAAATTAAGAAAAATGTGGGTTTTTTCAATATGTTTGGTATTGTTTCATTTATATACCAAAAAAATAAAAAACCCAGTAGTGATTAAATACCATCAAAAACCTTTATCTGTCTCAAAAAAAATGCTAAAAATTTAATTTGGGTAGTGATGCACTACTGAGTAATTCACATTCAAAGTCTGACGTGCTGAAAGCTGAAAATTGGCCAGGGCAGGAAAGGGGTGAAAGTGTCTGGTACTGAGATGGGTAAATAAGTCTAAAGCTCCATTTGCTAACTCCCAATGAGAATACCAAATTAAAAAAATGCAATATTTCATATTTGATTAAAACTGTATATCCTTTTTATACTTTTTTTTTTTTCTGTTTTGACCACAATTAATAAGGAAGGTAAAAGCACCTTTTGCATTATCAATAAGAAATAATAAGTCCTTGGCTGGTTTATGTCTGTTAAGATTTTGCTTAGTGCAAGAGCTTCAGTTTTACCTGTGTCATGAGAACATTTATCTTTCCATTGAACACCCAGAATTGTCACATATAACCAGATGTACTGTATGTGGGATGAGACTTGAGTCTTTAACCACTTCAGCCCCAGGCCTATTCTGACACTACTCTCCTACATGTGAAAATCAGCATTTTGTGCTAGAAAATTACTTGGATCTCCCATACATTATAAATTATTTTAGGCAGAGGCCCCAGAAAAGTAAATGTTGGGTGTTGCAAATTTTTTTTGTCAAATGCAATTTATTTGGAAAAAAAAAAAACACTTTTACAAAATTTTAATGCACTAAAATGCAATATAATACACAATTGTTTGGTAAAATATAAAAGATGATATGCTGAGTAAATGGATACGCTTTAACGCTCGTGGAATGGCATCAAACTATGGTACTTAACAATGTCCATGGGCAACATTTTAAAAAACTTTACAAGTTACAAGTTTAGAGTTACACAGGAGGTCTGGCGCAAGGATGCTTTCACTCTGGCATTCACTGTAATACCTCCCATGCGTGGTGAACTGTCCGTTTACATATGCTTGTGGGACCGACATGAGCGTTTGTCTTTTTATGCAAGCACGATGGGACGTGGTGCTTTAAAACTTTTTATTATTTATATAATTTTAATTTTTTTTCAATTTGTTTTATCACCTTTTTATTGCTATCACAAGGGATGAACAACACCCCTTGCGATGGCATAGGCCATGGCAGATCTTCTTTTTGGAGAGAGCTGGAGTCTGTTAGAAGCCATATGTCCCCTCTGACCTCTAAAGCATTAGATTAAACCAAAGTCAGTTTGCTCTGATGCTTGTACAGGCCAATAATGGAGTTTGTGCATGAAACTGATACTGTAAGTGACAAAATCCTTGTTGCTTCCGGTTTCTTAGACCATGGAGATGTTTCAGTCCTCCTCGAGCATCTCTATGATCAGCCAACTAATCCTCCAGCTTCAGTTCCGGGCTACCCAGTGAAGGTTGTGGGAGGGGGCCCCCCTTCTGCCACCTGTAAAAGCGATCCAGCACCTAATTAGCAACTCTGATTGCGTTTACAATAAACACCAGCACCAGCTGATAGAATACAGGGATGATGCCTGAAGCTGCAGGTATCATCCTGTTATAACCACCTCAACCTGGCGACGTATGGGTATGTTGCGGAAGCTGAAGTAGTTAAAGAGAGCCTTCAAATTTCATACATCTTTATATAACTTAGGAGGGAAAGACCCAAATTCAGCACTGCTTGTTAAGCACAGTCAAATGCAAGTTTCATAACTTAAGTAGAGTTCACCTCAATAATCAAGCAGGACCTAATTTATTTCAAAGCTATAAAAGTAGTCAAACTCTTAAGATAATAAAGAGAAACTATATTATGTGTTCTATTTATTTTTTGCTGTAGATAGATTTATAAAATGCATCAAACTTCGTAAAGAATAGCACAAAATGCCTACTGCATTGAAGTTATTTCTCTAAATAGCAATTGTTCCCAGTTGTCAGATGTAATTTACTTTCCAAGTAATCACGATAAAATAGGTCTTTTAACACTTATCTATCATTTTGGATTCAATAATAACAGTATTTCTAGAAATATTTGGTCTCATTTTACCTTTTCTTTGCTTACTCTGTCACTTATTTTATTGATTGATTTCAGATTTATAGCACAGACATCTCAAGCACAGTTTGGGGCCAGCCAGAACTACGACTCCCTCCTCTCTATGCTTCTTTTGTCAATGGCGTTGCGGTAAGATACTTTTACAATGATCTTTGTGTACAATTATCTTAGATCAATGTTAGATTGCCAGTCAGCATTCTGCAGAAGGTAAAGTGTGGTAATAATACATAATGACGTAGAGGTTTTCTGCATAGTTTGCTATAACTTTTGCTTGAGAAAAGAGACTGTATTGTAAACCTGACAGCTGTAATGAGTTGGTTCTTCTGGATGTGTTCTTATGCTTCAAAATAAAAAAAAAGGTTTCTGAGGAAATATACGTAAGAATTTATTTTATACCTGTCTTTTACATCACAGGTATAAAAGCTGCAAAGAAAGCATGCATGGGTGAGATATTACCCATTGTAAACTACCGTATTTGCCGGCGTATAAGACGACTTTTTGACCCTTGAAAATCTTCTCAAAAGTCGGGGGTCGTCTTATACGCCGGTACACATGTTTAGGGGGGCTGCGGCATTAAGTACAGGGGTTTGCAGGGGCTGATGTCTCTTACCTGGATCCAGTCCCACGACGATCCGGACCAGGAAGCGCGGCGTCTCCTTCAGTTCGGCCACTGGATGTTCGTGCGGCTGCTCGGCTCCGCCTCCTCACCGGTGATTGGCCGCCAGAACTGTAGCTCAGGAAAGGCACACAGGCGGCCAATCACTGGCGAGGGGGCGGAGCCGAGCGGCCCCGCGAAAATTGAGTGCCGGAGCAGCAGGTAAGTGTTCTGTGTAGAGGTGCTGCTGCAACCACATATGCTGGCTGCAGCAGCACCATACGAGAACAGGGTCAGCAAGTCTCAGTGGGAGGAATAGTGCCCCCATCATTGGTGTCACTGATACCAATGATGGGGCACTATTCCTCCCACTGACACCAACGATGGGGCACTATTCCTCCCCCCCACTGACACCAACGATGGGGCACTATTCCCCCCCCACTGACACCAACGATGGGGCACTATTCCACCCCCCACTGACACCAATGATGGGGCACTATTCCACCCCTCACTGACACCAATAATGGGACACCATTCCTCCCACTGACATCAATGATGGGGCACTATTCCTCCCACTGACACCAATGATGGGGCACTATTCCTGCCACTGATACCAATGATGGGGCACTATTCCTCCCACTGACACCAATGATGGGGCACTGTTCCTCCCACTGACACCAATGATGGGGCATTATTCCTCCCACTGATACTAATGATGGGGCACTATTCCTCCCACTGACACCAATGATGGGGCACTATTCCTCCCACTGACACCAATGATGGGGCACTATTCCTCCCACTGACACCAATGATGGGACACTATTCCTCCCACTGACACCAATGATGGGGCACTATTCCTCCCACTGACACCAATGATGGGGCACTATTCCTCCCACTAATACCAATGATGGGGCACTATTCCTCCCACTGACATCAATGATGGGGCACTATTCCTCCCACTGACATCAATGATGGGGCACTATTCCTCCCACTGACACCAATGATGGGGCACTATTCCTCCCACTGACACCAATGATGGGGCACTATTCCTCCCACTGACACCAATGATGGGGCACTATTCCTCCCACTGGTGTGCATTGGAAGAGGGGTAGTCTTATACGGCGAGTATAGCCCAAACACTACATTTTAGCAGGAAAAGTAGGGGGGCCGTCTTATACGCCCAGTCGTCTTATACGCCGGCAAATACGGTAGTAATTTTTTAAAAAGGAACATAGATGACCATTATGTAGGTAATCATTAACAGTGTGTTATTTAATGTAGCTTTTTCTATCCTTGGACTGGAATTGCCATAGAAGTGATAAATTAAATATGCCACATCTCCCTAGCTCAACTGTCTGCCCAGTTATGGCCAGAATTTGGTGAATAATCTAATCTCACGTGGTGGACAAATACTTTTGTAAAATCATGTTAACACAACTTCTCATGCCCTTTTGGCCTACATAGTTATCCATTGCATACATCAGCAAGTTAAAGTGGAACTTTAACCATAACAACCAAAAAAAAATTAAGTTCTTTAGCAAGGAACATACATTCCATGTTAAAATATTATGCTACCAAAAGTAGTGTGTGCTGTAAACTGCCTCCAGCGTGGAGCTGAATTCACTGAAGCCCAGAGCCCCTGAACAGCAGTAAATCTTTAGGCTGTCAGCAGATCGGCCTCTACAATTTTGGCACAGTGCCTAAAAAGAGAGAGCAAATGAGCATGTGCAGAGCAAGGTTAGATGGTGTATTACTGAATTTTAAACCGTATAGACCAGTATTTTTTTTTTTTTTTTTTTTCTTTTACATAGCTATACCTGCAAAAGAGGCCAGCCTGACTCGATCTAGACTTAATTTTCTGACTAAAGTTCCACTTTAAGGTGAATGGAGTGGCTTATAACTGCACAAAAAAGGAACCTATTTCATATTTTATTACTGCACAATACAGTATGTGCTGTTTAAAGGAGTCATCTACTTTTTTTTTTTTTTTTTCAAAAGCTATATCTGCATCTGTATAGTATAACAAAGCAGTTTCTCAGGTACAGCTGTTGAAGACTGGATTGGGGGTCGAAGGCTGCAGAAGGAGCCACTGTCGCAGGACTGGTGCAGCTGTGTAAATTCCTACCTCCTCCTTTGATGTTTGGTGCATGGAGGGTTCTGCATTGGAGTTACATGGAGGGACACCTGCCTCTTGTAAATACAGAAGCCAACAGGAGAGGTCTTCCACTACTGATGGCGTCATCTAATGAAAAGTACAGAAGAGGAAGCCAGTAGTGGAAGATTTCCTCTTCCATCTTTTGTGTTTACATACTGCGGGGCAAATCGGAGAGTTGTCACAGTGGTTCTCTGAGTATAGGACTAGTGTCAGGAGGTGCTGGTATGCAGCACTGGCATGCTCCGACACAACGGTATAACAGAAAATATTTGAATTATTTTTTACTTTATGGTTACATGTATAAGAGTGTGTTAAATCAACATATATAATGTCCATTTATCAAATTTCAAAAAATGTGAATAATTCAAAATTTCTTTTTTTTGAAATTTGATATATGGACATTATATATGTTGATTTAGCGCACTCTTATATTTGATTTAATTTGATTTTCCACTGTGTGTGGAGTTGGAGTTGCTGCTGTATAGCTTGAGGGGTGTGGCGCTTTTCTAAATACCAAATGGTTACATGTACATTTTATTATAGGTTCACTCCATGGACTTTGATGACACTTGGCATCCTGCCACACATCCCTCAGGAGCAGTCCTTCCTTCTCTGGTTGCCCTTTCAGAATCTGTATCGACACATCACAAGAAATCAGGATTAGACTTTATCTTGGCATTCAATGTTGGTATTGAGGTACAAGGAAGACTCATGCATTTCTCAAATGAAGCCAGCAATATTCCGAAAAGGTATGATATTGTGTAAAACTGAAACAAATATAGTTCACAAATCATTTAGAAGTTTTGAGCTTTTTTTTAGATAATTCACACCATAACACTCGCTATACACACATCACTACCTAATGCACCTTAGATGTGTATTTCAATGCAAATTCATTTGCAAACCAATGCACATCTACAATGTGATTGAACAAAATCTTTGTTCTAGTGCACCACATAGATGCATAAGCTGTGTTTTGCAATGTCTTACACTGCAATCCTATTTTTTCATGCATTCAATTACATTAACTATGTTATGGTGCAAAGAGATCCTATAGTCCTCATGCTGATGCAATGAGCAGTACTTACATTTGTTCAGTATGTGCCCAGGGACAAATGCAGAATGCATGCAGTCTGTATTCTGGACATTCGACCCTGAGCGCATACTAAACATAAGTACCATTCAGTGCAATGTTCAGCCCTGTTCAGCTGTAGGAGCCATCATCCTATCATACACATTGACAGGCTGGAGGCAGTGGGGCTGCATGGTGTGCCTATACCTTCCTTCCTATACCTGCCTCTACCTTCCATCAACACCCAAGGCTAAATGCCTAGTGTGACTAGGGCCTAAAAAGAATAGGGCCTAAAAAGAATAATTCCTCTTTGTCTGTGTTTGTAGCCGTATGAAGGGCATTCCACCTTTTTGGAAGCTATAACCCAAGCAACAGTAGGGCGCCAGTCCTGTGGCTGTTTAGATTATTAGGGGTTCTTGTGCACTTCTGCCAAACTTGATTAGCTTCTGATGTTAATCCTCCCTCTTCCAGTCTTAGTGCTGCTGTGGGCATTACAGAAGTCTGGTATTTAGGTACTTACTGATCAATTTAGTTATGTATTTTTTAAAGTATAGTTTTATTCCTGCTTGGAATTTGGCTTTAAAGTGCACCTGTACACAGACCATGGGTATGAAAGTATTCTTATTCTTTATATACATATTCCTAACAAATAGCAAATTAACTTTAACACCGCTCTAGCTGTAGGACCTGTGACGTAATTACTTCTCAAAGATCTTCAAAGAATACAATAGAAGAGCTAAAGTTGGGTTTCAGTTTTTAACAGCTTGGGTACAGTTGCACTCTAATTCCAAGGTCTATTTCCTTTTTTACATGAATAGTATGCAGGAAACAAACACTAATGAGTGCATTAGACTTCTAAAATAAGCAAATAGCTGCCAGCTGTGTCAGATTCCTAAGACCGTCCTGAGTTTTAAAAAGCCAAACTTTTTTGCATTCACTGCAAAATAAATAGAGGTTCTTTGAATAGTCCAGCAAACTCCACTAATAATGATTTCCTCCCTATGCTACGATTGTTGCCAGCTAAAGCTCTGTGAAATAGGCAACATTTTTATAGGGGGATCGTGTGACCCTGGATCTGAGACCTGTTTAGACATAGAGGAAACTGTATTTTAAGCAGGGAGTGTATGGACTATAAAGCCAACCTCTTCACAGAATAGACAAAGTGCAGGCTGGTTTAAAGGTTTGTCTCTGAAATATCCATGTTTTTAAAAAAAATGACTCATTACAAAAGGCCTGCTTTTCTTGTATGTCAGCGTAATTCTTAATATCTTCAGATGTTTAAGTATTTTTGTAACACTTATATTTAATCATTTTGTAAATGAGTGATATTTTAGCATAGAACATATAATGCCAGGGTATGTAGAACTGTAGTGCAATATAAATTAGAATAGATTATATAGGACTGGGACTGCAAATTATGCCAGCAGTTATGCATACATAGGGTTTTACTTGTAGTTACAGTGGTGTATTTAAAAAACGTACTTCATCATGATTGTAGACTTCTCTCTATATTGTATGTAGATTATTCAAAGTGTACTTAATTTGCAATTCTGTGTCTACAGGTTTCACCCTCCCACCGTGGTTGGTACAATGGGAAGTGCTGCAGCTTCATCAAAATTTTTAGCCCTTGATCAAACTCAGTGCAGAGATGCCTTAGCTATAGCTGCATCATATTCAGGTGCCCCTTTGGCAAATGCAGCCACACAAACCAAACCCCTTCACATTGGTAATGCAGGCAGACATGGCCTTGAGGCAGCTTTCTTTGCACTCTTGGGGCTTGAAGGAAATAAGCACATCCTGGATCTAGAGTCTGGTTTTGGTGCTTTCTATCATGACTATGAACCCCAAGCTGTTCCATCTCTAGAATCATACAACTGGCTGCTAGAAAAACAAGATGTTGCTGTCAAACGCTTCCCTGCTCATCTTGGAACGCACTGGATGACAGATGCGGCTTGTGCAGTGCGGAATCATATTGTTAGAGACTGTCACTCCCTGCCAGTCAATGACATTCAGAAAATCCAGCTAAAAGTTCCAGATGTTAAATATGTGAACCGCCCATTTCCATCTTCAGAGCATGAAGCTCGTCATTCCTTCCAGTTTAATGCCTGTACAGCCCTCCTAGATGGCAGTGTTAATGTCCATTCTTTTAGTGATCACAATATCTCTAGGCCAGAAATGAAGGCACTGCTTGGTAAAACAGAGGTTGTACACCCACTTGATAACAAACCCAATTTTGACCAACTTTATTGTGAGATCAGTATAACAATGACAAATGGAGTCACCTTTACGGAAAGATGTAACACTTTCTACGGTCACTGGAGGAATCCATTGAGCAACAAAGATCACCTGAAGAAATTCAAATCCAATGCATCCATGGTCTTGTCAGCAGATGGAGTAGATGGAATTATAGAAGTAGTGAAGAACCTGGAAAATATATCTGACTGTTCGGTGCTTAGCACTTTTCTCAGACTAAGAAATCAAACAACTTATAAGCATGAAAGGTCAATGCATAATAAATCCTGAACACAAACATTCTTACATTTACACATCAGACAGATGCCCTTCTAGTTTATATAACCAAGACCACATTATCACTTTATATTTTGACTATCCATTTCTATATAATGCCTTTTGTGGCCTATGGTTACTGACGGAATGGAAACCAAATACACTGCTTACATTTTTTTTCTTGCTATCACTGGATACTTATGGGTGTCCAGCAGCAGAACTATAAATGGATGACATAGTAAATGCTTCTTAGGGGAGTCATATGACTCTGTGTTTCAATTCAGCCACGTTTTTTCTTTTTCTGCAGGCTGTACAATTGTAGAGTCTGTTACCTTCCTCCTTATAGTACATTCTGATTTTAACTAACTGATTACAATCATATACTATGGCTTGTGATAAAAGAAATAGGAATGAAAGAGTACATCAGTCATATATCCATCGGTCATCTTGAAGGATAAATATGAGCTTTTGCTCTACGCAATTGCTGTTTTGATTGAAATTCTATAAAATAATGTATAATTTGGTCAAACAGCACTTCATGCTGAAAGTCTGTGTTGTGTAGGTCTCCTAATAAGCAGTACTAATTATGTTGTACTTCAACTACCCTGAATGTGCAAAATACAATCTTTTGTTTTACCAGAAGACGAAACACTAACTTAAAATGTATATTTAATACCTGCTGTTATATATTAATGCCTGTTTTTTTTTTTCTCTTTGGAGAAATTGCCAGTTCTATCTGCTTTAAAGTTGATATAATTTGCTTAAATGCATCCCTAGAGCTGTATACTGTATTAAAAGATAATTTTATTTAAAAAAAAAACCTATGGGCAGTGTGTAAAATCATTCCCTTACAGTAGAAGTCCAGGCAAGAATAGGAGCCCACCAAGCAGAAGTGAAAGTGCTATATAGTGATGAAATGATAAACTGCTGGATTACATTTTAAGAAAGCATAGTATTGAAAGTGTCCTGCTTCCCTGTTTATGGAGTAGACTAGATTGTACCTGGCTGGTTCATATTACCTAAATTTTGAGAACATTTCAACCACTAAAATGCAGTTTGCATGTGCGATGTGTTGATAATTCCAGAATACTGTATTAAGACAGAACAACACATAAACAGGTGTTTGGGGGTTTATAACACGAATGTAACCTTTCCAAGGTGTGCTGATTGATTGCACAGAAGGACGCAACTAAAGCTGAGGATCAATGACCTGCAAAATAAAACCGCTCAAGATTGACTCTCTCCAGAATAAGCAACTCTCAGCAACAAGATTTTACACAGATGGGTTTCTTGGTGTATGCCAGGATGAAAAAGACCTTGGACAAGTTGGTTTTGTATCATTTATGCATGAAATGTGGTGCAGTATTCACTAGGGATATGCATCTGGTACATGTTTACATGGGTGATTTTCATATTATACTTTTAAGAAATTAAAACACTTTATTATAATGCTGTGGTCTGAAAAGAAATCACAAAATTAAAAAAAAAGAGGGTTCACATAGAAATTTTTTAAAACTGACACTGGAAATTGCAAATGCCAAACACATATGTGATTTTAGTAATAGTTATGTTCGTACTCTTCTTGCTTTCATTGAACAGTGGTTTCAGGATAAAATCATCTTTATTTATACTATGTACACTACCTACATTTCAAATACTACTTGAAAATATAATACATTAAATCATACTGTAATATAAGCACATTTCACTATGTTTGATTTATGTACTTATTGTTTGATTTATGTACTTATTGGATTTTGTATATGATCAAATGAATAATAAAATATTTGGTGTAAACCAAAAAAAAGAGATTGTTAACAATGTATGAAATTTGAATCCCGCGAGCACCAAAGACACATAAGTAATTTGATTTAAACATACTGTATGGACTGTGATTTAAGAGATACTTCATGTTTTGCACATTGAACACTGTATTTATTGTGTTTTTGTTATATTCACTGGCATTGCATCATGCCCCCCCCCCTACAAGCTGCATCAACTCATCTAGATGTATAGGGCATTCACTTCTTTGTCACCCAAGTGGTGGCATTAAACATACCAAGCTGGTATAACATTCAATTATATGAAGTCTCCATGCAAAGTTTTTGAAAACTGAGCACTCTCCTTCATGCTTTTGTGATAGGGAGGGCAATACACATTATTAAGATGCAACTTAGCTGCAGGGAATCATGCATTGCTTCTCTATTTAAGTAAGCAGTGCAGTTTCTAATCCCTTGCCTTGTCATCGTTCTGATAAGCTCATGCAAAAGCTTTTCATAATAGCATTTTTTTTTCTTTTTTAATCTGACAGTTGCCTTGTTAAAACAATTTGAGTTGATTATATTGGCATCATCTCATTGTGGAGGTCATTAGTAAATGCACTTAATCTGTCACACCTGAAGCACCAATCCTCAAATAATCATGCCCCCCCCCATCCCCATCTGCTCACTGTTGCAGCTTGCTCAAGTATGCAGTATTTAAATTTTCAAAGCCATTTTCTTAACAGCTGACAGTGTCCTCAAAGTGAACCCTCACAGATTTGTATAGGACCATCTCCCCAATAAAACCAGTCTCGAGGTCGCCCTATGCACATCTAAGAAGGCTAACCATGCATACCAATAAGCAGAGTCTGAAGGAGGATGGTAACATATCAAGGACTGCTGTGACTGTCCTACTCAGGTATTTAAAGTGGTTGTAAACCTCAGACATGAAATACGAACAAAGCACATCCCTGTATATAGTGTGTACTTTTCTCAATTAAGATCACCAAGTATCATTTCTGTCAATTTTGCCTGACGCCAAGAGAGAAATGCTGACGGGAGAGACCTCCAGTAGATTGACATCCTTATATATGTTCCTGTAAGCTGTGTGATGGGGGGGGGTCTCTTTCCTCCAAGCAGTTCCTAGAGCTCTCCTAACTGAGCTTTGAAGAGTGTAACTTCAGCTCTCTGCCACCTTTTTTTCTGAACTCTCAGACAAGCTTTATAAATTCTGCACTTTGAACGGGTGTAGAGAAGAGAAGACTGCAGATGGATAGGTACAGCTTATGTAGGATGATTTGTTTCATCTTTGTGTGTTATCTAAGAGTTTACAACCACTTTAAGCAGCTGGAGGATGTCATCATCATGTTACTTTTGAGGGCTATGCAGAGTGGGCAACTGTTCTTACTGAAAGTACACTTCTCCTTTTCAGGGTTTATGCATTTCACCAATTTGTAAGAGAGGCCTTGTGTTCCTTTTTAGAGTGGTTTCACCCTGCTTCCAACCAGTCTTGGCTGGATTTCCTCTCTGTTTATAGTATATAAAAAGTGGGGGAAGACCTGCTAAGAGTGGTACATGAGAAACGGGTGGACTGACCATTTGGAAACTCTGGCACTGCCCGGGGTCAGTAGGGGGCCCCATGAGATGCCCCTGGTACCTTTTTCATAGGCTTTTTTGAGTTTGGGCAAGGACACAGGGGCCCCATGATCCTCATGAGTTGTCAGTCCACCCCTGATGAGAAATGATATTCAGGAAGGACTCTTGTTTATAATAAGATAACCATATGTTTCCCTCTCCCAGGGTCCTCCAATTGGAAATATATCTCAGGGTGATGGTGAGAGCTGCTATGCAGAGACTTAGAAAACTGGCAGCCTCCATGCAAGATAATGTGGCTTTCAATGAGGAACTGTTATGCCAGTAGCTGGTTTTGATAAAGAAACAGTGGTTCATAAAAGCATTCAGAAAAGCAAGCACTGACTGGACATTCTATTATTGGGTGTACTGGGATGTGTGTTCCACCCAATCTGCATAAGGATTAGTACACCCTGAAAGGACTGAAATATGAAACCTCTTGCATTTCACGTGTTTATGGGAAAGCTCTTGGCATGGGATTTAACCCAGCCTTTCTCATGCTGCTAGGTGGCCCTCCTCTACCTACCTTACAATGGCCACTGCCCTCTCCTATCTTTTTGCCCAGTCTACAACACTTGACTGGCACTGTACTGAGGTTTTTGTGTGTGTATCTGTTCACTTAACCCCCATGAATGGCTGCTACTAATAGAAGTGAAGCTGTGTACCTGGTTCTGAGAAGATACTATAGATCAGGAATCTCCAAACTATGGCCCAGAGGCCAAATCCAGCCTGCTAAGGTCAAACGTCCATTGCTGTCTTGTCTTTTTCCAAGTCAGTCCGTTGCTAGTACCATCGACGCTCTAGCAACTGATGATGTACTTGTTCCAGCAGGAGCACAGAGCTTTCTATGCCCTTTACTGCTCTGCCTCTTTGCTGTTACACTGCAGCCACTATGTAAGTAAGGTAGGGGAAAACTACTGACAGGGAATCTGATGCATGGAAGGCTTAGAAGGGGACCCTGATGTTGCGAGGTACCCTGATGGCACTCTGATATATGGGGGGGTGGCTCATAAGGTGTACTCTGATGGGAACCTTGATTTAAGGCAGGCTCTGATGGGAACCCTGATTTAAGGGGTGACTTTGATGTAAGAGGGAACTTTGTTTTACTGAAGTTCTTTCTCTTTTTTTCTAAATCATATGCTAATGAATTAAAAAAATCCAAGTAAAAAATATTCATTGATTTCGTACCACAAATTTTTTTTAATATATGATGTGGCCCTTATACTGAAAAGTTGGAGACCGCTGCTATAGATGATAGAGAAGCCTTTCAATGTTACAGCAAATGCATGTGGAAGCAAGGTGGTATGAATACCGCTGGTACTAATCACGCATTCTCCTCCAGCATTAACCTCAAGTGAAGCAGCCTAGCCCACTGCAAACTCTAACTTGGGCAAATTGGTTTACTCAAGAATCGCTAGGGAACTGAGTATGCAAATAGTAGAAAGTAGTTACTCCTTGCTCCTAGGGTTAGTTTATTAAAAAGTATGCCGTTTGCAAAACAACATAGTCCCTAGAGAGTTTATGGAATGTTCCTCAATTTGTGGAAGCAAATGTAGATTATTTTCTGCCGTCATAGCAACAGGAAAATTGCCTGGGAAATAGCATACAGTAGTCACTTTGGAT